TACATCGTTAGATTCAGCATATCAAAGAATCCAAAGAATCCAAAGAATTCAATTTTTGATGAAATCAAACAAAGTTTCATTTTGGACCCTTTTGACCTCAATGTGGACCAATTTGATAATGGGGCCCAAAAATCAAAATACATGGTTAGATTCAGCATATCAAAGAACCCCATATATTCAATTTTTATTGAAATCAAACAAAGTTTAATTTTGGACCCCAACTTGGACCAACTTGAAAACTGGGCCCATAATCAGCATATCAAAGAACCCCAAGAATTCAATTTTTGTGAAAATCAAACTTAGTTTAATTTTGGACCCTTTGGACCTTAATGTAGACTAATTTAAAAAAACGGGACCCAAAATTAAAAATCTAAATACACAGTTAGATTTGGCATATCAAAGAACCCCAGTAATTCAATTATTGATGAAATAAAACAAAGTTTAATTTTGGACCCTTTTGACCTCAATATGAACCAATTTGATAGCGGGGCCCACAAATAAAAAATCTAAATACATGGGTAGATTCAGCATATCAAAGAACCCCCATATATTCAATTTTTGTTGAAATCAAACAAAGTTTAATTTTGGACCCCAATTTGGACAAACTTGAAAACTGGGCCCATAATCAGCATATCAAAGAACCCCAAGAATTCAATTTTTGTTAAAATCAAACTTAGTTTAATTTTGGACCCTTTGGACCTTAATGTAGACTAATTTAAAAAAACGGGACCCAAAATTAAAAATCTAAATACACAGTTAGATTTGGCATATCAAAGAACCCTAGTAATTCAATTATTGATGAAATAAAACAAAGTTTAATTTTGGACCCTTTTGACCTCAATATGAACCAATTTGATAGCGGGGCCCACAAATAAAAAATCTAAATACATGGGTAGATTCAGCATATCAAAGAACCCCATATATTCAATTTTTGTTGAAATCAAACAAAGTTTAATTTTGGACCCCAATTTGGACAAACTTGAAAACTGGGCCCATAATCAGCATATCAAAGAACCCCAAGAATTCAATTTTTGTTAAAATCAAACTTAGTTCAATTTTGGACCCTTTGGACCTTAATGTAGACTAATTTAAAAAAACGGGACCCAAAATTAAAAATCTAAATACACAGTTAGATTTGGCATATCAAAGAACCCCAGTAATTCAATTATTGATGAAATAAAACAAAGTTTAATTTTGGACCCTTTTGACCTCAATATGAACCAATTTGATAGCGGGGCCCACAAATAAAAAATCTAAATACATGGGTAGATTCAGCATATCAAAGAACCCCATATATTCAATTTTTGTTGAAATCAAACAAAGTTTAATTTTGGACCTCAATTTGGACCAACTTGAAAACTGAGCCCAAAATCAAAAATCTAAATACATGTTTAGATTCAGCATATCAAAGAACCCCATATATTCAATTTTTGTTAAAATCAAACTAAGTTTAATTTTGGACCCTTTGGACCTTAATGTAGACCAATTTGAAAACTGGACCCAAAATTAAAAATCTAAATACACGGTTAGATTTGGCATATCAAAAAACCCCAATAATTCAATTTTTGATGAAATAAAACAAAGTTTAAATTTGGACCCTTTTGACCTCAATATGAACCAATTTGATAGCAGGCCCACAAATAAAAAAATCTAAATACATGGGTAGATTCAGCATATCAAAGAACCCCATATATTCAATTTTTGTTGAAATCAAACAAAGTTTAATTTTGGACCCCAATTTGGACCAACTTCAAAACTGGGCCCAAAATCAAAAATCTAAATACATGCTTAGATTCAGCATATCAAAGAACCCCATATATTCAATTTTTGTTAAAATCAAACTAAGTTTAATTTTGGACCCTTTGGACCTTAATGTAGACCAATTTGTAAACTGGACCCAAAAAAAATATTCTAAATACACGGTTAGATCTGGCATATCAAAGAACCCCAGTAATTCAATTATTGATGAAATAAAACCAAGTTTAATTTTGGACCCTTTTGACCTCAATATGAACCAATTTGATAGCGGGGCCCACAAATAAAAAATCTAAATACATGGGTAGATTCAGCATATCAAAGAACCCCATATATTCAATTTTTGTTGAAATCAAACAAAGTTTAATTTTGGACCCCAATTTGGACCAACTTGAAAACTGGGCCCAAAATCAAAAATCTAAATACATGTTTAGATTCAGCATATCAAAGAACCCCATATATTCAATTTTTGTTAAAATCAAACTAAGTTTAATTTTGGACCCTTTGGACCTTAATGTAGACCAATTTGAAAACTGGACCCCAAAAAAAAAATCTAAATACACGGTTAGATTTGGCATATCAAAAAACCCCAATAATTCAATTTTTGATGAAATAAAACAAAGTTTAATTTTGGACCCTTTTGACCTCAATATGAACCAATTTGATAGCAGGCCCACAAATAAAAAATCTAAATACATGGGTAGATTCAGCATATCAAAGAACCCCATATATTCAATTTTTGTTGAAATCAAACAAAGTTTAATTTTGGACCCCAATTTGGACCAACTTCAAAACTGGGCCCAAAATCAAAAATCTAAATACATGCTTAGATTCAGCATATCAAAGAACCCCATATATTCAATTTTTGTTAAAATCAAACTAAGTTTAATTTTGGACCCTTTGGACCTTAATGTAGACCAATTTGTAAACTGGACCCAAAAAAAATAATCTAAATACACGGTTAGATCTGGCATATCAAAGAACCCCAGTAATTCAATTATTGATGAAATAAAACCAAGTTTAATTTTGGACCCTTTTGACCTCAATATGAACCAATTTGATAGCGGGGCCCACAAATAAAAAATCTAAATACATGGGTAGATTCAGCATATCAAAGAACCCCATATATTCAATTTTTGTTGAAATCAAACAAAGTTTAATTTTGGACCCCAATTTGGACCAACTTGAAAACTGGGCCCAAAATCAAAAATCTAAATACATGTTTAGATTCAGCATATCAAAGAACCCCATATATTCAATTTTTGTTAAAATCAAACTAAGTTTAATTTTGGACCCTTTGGACCTTAATGTAGACCAATTTGAAAACTGGACCCCAAAAAAAAAATCTAAATACACGGTCAGATTTGGCATAACAAATAAATAAATGTGGTCAAATATTTTACAAATCTAATGCGCCATACTGTGCAATTAAAGATTACTTCTTGAAACTTTTCAATATTTGAAATTTGAAAAAAAAAAATATTTGAAGAATAATTCTTTTTAATTTCTGAAATCTGAAATGAGAAAAAATTGACCCCCCACAATTTCTTTTTACCCCCTTCCCCCTTTTTCCCCCAAAAAATTCTTTCCCTCAAGATATGGTCATAATTTCAATTCAAATTTCCAATGGAATTTGCAACCATAATTACCCAATTTAATTTACCATAGTGCTAACTTAATCTATTTTATAATAGAATTTAAAATATGGTGTCAAATCTTTCATATGGATTTTTTTGTAAAAAAAAAAAAAGATGCAACATTTGCAGATATTTTTACTGGTCTTCCTTTATAAATATGCATTTCTTTAAACATAATTTAAAAGCAGTGTAAGGGAAGTAATCAAAACGTTGTATGCGGATTTCCTCCCTTACACTGTTTTAAATTGTCTTAATTGTTCATTAACCATTACTTTATACATAATTTAAAAGCAGTGTAAGGGAGGTAATTCAAATGATGTATTTGATTTATCTCCCTTACGCTGCTTTAAATTATGATTTCTACTAAAGTATTTGTCCATATAAAAATGCTTGTTTTTTTCCCCTTTTTTTGCCCCTCATTCCTAAAATTTTGAGGCAATTACCCCCAAAATCAATCCCAGCATTCCCTTTGTGATATGGAACCTTGTGGTACAATGTCAGAGAGATCCATACACTAACACACAAGTTATGTCTGGAAGTTACAAAAGTACTTATTTTTGGCCCCTAATTCCTTAACTGTTGGTACCATAACCCCCAAAATCAATCCCAACCTTTCTTTTGTGGTATTGAACCTTATGGTAAAATTTCATAGAGATCCATTAACTTAAACTAAAGTTAGAGTGCGAAAACCAATGTGTCTTCGGACGACCACGACGACGCCAACGTCATACCAATATACAATCGCAAAATTTTTTTGCGGTCGTATAAAAACTGGTCATATGATGAAATCCCAGGTTATTTGAAGACCTGGATGGGTAATTGAAAATTTCGGGTGAGCTGGTAAATTCACGGGTCACAACCGCAAAATACAAGTCAGTTGACAGGTATGAAAGTTTCTATCTACATTTGTATCTATTATACTTTTCAAAATAATAGGCAAAAACTCCAAAAATGTTTTTAGCCATGTCGGTAGGCAGGACATACCCCAATGAAGATTGTGACCAAGTTTTGTTAAATTTGGCCCAAAATTTTCAGAGATGTTTTTTTTCTCAAGTTAACGGTCGATGACTAGATACCCTATGGATCATTCATGCCAAGTTGTGTTGAAATTGGTTCAGTGGTTTCAGAAGAAAAGTTTTCAAAGATAATGTCAGTCAACATAGAAAGACACCAAGTAATGGCAATAGATTGTATAGGCTACAGACAAGAGATGATAATTATTAGATATACCAGTAAATGAATATAAAATTCAGGCATTTCTAGTTTAACATGATTGATTGATTAATGGTGTTTAAAGCCACTTTCAACACTATTGTGCTATTTCGTGGTGGTCAGTTTTTATTGGTGGAGGAAGCCGGAGAGAACCACTGTACTTCGGTAGGTAAACTGACAATCCTAGTCAATTAAGACTGGAGTCAAATGCACCTGCCCCGTGCGGGATTGGAACTCACAACCTCAGTGTTGACTGGCTAGTGATATAGTAGTTGGACTACTTAGACCACTTGGCCATCAAGGCCCCCAGTTTAACATGATCCCAAGACAACAATTCACTGCATTTCTAGTGGAATAGACACATGTTTAAATGTTTAATTCATATTCCCTTCTTACCATTTCAGCCTTTTTGATGACCAAATCTTTGAATGGTTCATTCCACTTCTGTATAAATTTATCACTGGTTACTATTGTATCACAGCAAATCGCAGTGTGTGGATACTTCTTTGTACATTCAGTTAAAATTTGTTTGACATCGTCAGTACTAAATATGGAGGGCAGTAAAGGCTACAATAAGGAAAGTGTATCATTAGAGATGCTGAGATTACAAATTTGGAAAGAGTAAGTCTACACATACATAAAATTTGAATTTCTAACAATGTAAATTGTAAAAAATTGCAGTTCCAGTACTAGTAAGGTTATGTACAAATGGCAAGAAATTGGCAAAAATGACTTACAAGTATATCATTACTTTGTGATTTGGAAACAAGACAGAGATAAGTTTTTTACTGAGTATATTCCAAGTTGTAAATATATATATAACCATATAACCTGTTATGTTATGGGTTCTTACGCAAATCAGATTTATATCAGGAATCTGAGCAGGTTTTTTTAACTCATGCTATTTCCCCTAATGGTAGTTGTCATCTCTAGTTGATACTCTGCAATGCAGACTACACAATTATATATTGTTAAGAGATAGCTTGGAGAGAGTTTAATGATTGATAAAAGAACAGAGTTCCAATGCCCCTGCGTTGCACATATTTTATTTATCCAAGGTACAAGGGCAATAACTAAAAACTTTTTTTTTGTTCTATAAGATTTTTTATTAATATCTTAGAGAAATGAAGGCTTCAGAGCAAATGCAATGTGATTTCCATTATAATTAATATTTCCAAGGGACATAACTCGTTAAAAATTTTTGATCAGAACTTATTTTTTAAAGTGTCAAAGACATTACTGGTATAAACCTTTGATATAAGTTTCATAAACTTCTGGCAAGAATTGAACTTCTGAGAGTGCTAACAATGCAATTTTCCGTATAATCAATATTTCCAAAGGCATAACTCTTTTAAAAATAATTGATCAGCACTGATTTTCAAACTCATCAAAGACATTGATGATATAAACCTATAATAGAAATTTCATAAAAATCTGGCAAATATTGGACTTTTTAGAGCGCTGAGGCCAAAAGGCAATTTTCCATATAATTAATGTTTCCAAGGGGCATAACTCTTTTAAGAATAATTAACCGGCACTGATTATTGAAACTTTCCCTAGACATTGCTAATATGAACCTTTGATATAATTTTCATAAAAATCTGGCAAGAATTAAACAAATGAGAGCACTAACGATGCAATTTTCCATATAATTAATGTTTCCAAGGGCATAACTCTTTTAAAAACAAGCATTCTGAGAGTATTGCATGGCAATACATAGTCCCCTACCAGTTAAAAATTAATTGTACTGGACCAAAATGCTTACTTGATCTACAACTTGTCATGGTGTAAACTATATAACAAATATCAAGTCAATATCTTCAAGCATGACGAAAAAAAGTGCGGAAAACTGATAATTTAAGTGAATTTTCTAAGTTCAAGGACCATAACTCTGCAAAAAATCATCAAACCGAAACAAATTCAAACTTGGTCTGTAACTTGTCATGATAAAACTATATACCAATTATCAAATCAATATCTTCAAGCATGACGAAAAAAAGTGCGGAAACTGATTATTTGAGTGAATTTTCTAAGTCCAAGGACCATAACTCTGCACAAAATCATCAGACCGGAACAAAATTCGAACTTGATCTGTAACTTGTCATGATAAAACAATATACTAATTATTAAATCAATATCTTTAAGAATGATGAAAAAAAGTGCGGAAAACTGAATATTTGAGTGAATTTTCCAAGTCTAAGGACCATAACTCTGCACAAAATTATCAGACCGGAACAAAATTCGAACTTGATCTGTAACTTGTCATGATAAAACAATCTGCCAAATATCAAATCAATATCTTCAAGCATGAAGAAAATAAACTGCTTCGCTGAGCGCAGCTAGATACGCCCACAGAGGTCCAACCCTGAACAGTTGGGGCAAAAATGGATACAATATTCAAGCTTGATTCAGGTCTGAATTTGGATTGTAATTAAATATTTGACATATTATAGGTTTCTGAATAAATGTAGTCAAAGAACTTGAAATTGGTTATATGAATTGAATTTATATTCACTTAAAGATTTCTTGCTGTTGTGCAATACTTAGTATATCTGTTGTCAGACTATAAACAAATAAAGTTCAATTAATTCTCAATGTCATATTAGAAATTTATGAAAATAAAAAGGGAGCTTACATCAATAGATATTAACAATTCACCATAGTTTCCTGAGAATGGGTGACAGCATTTTTGAGTTATTGCCCGAAACTTGAAAATCACCCCTTTTTTTAATGAATAAAACCCCATAACTCAGAAATGTAAAATGTAAAATTTATAAAATTCTAAAAGGAGCTTACATCAATACAAACAAACAATTCACCAAGGTTTCATAAGAATTGCTGAAAGCATTTTTGAGTTTTTGTCCGAAAACTGGAAAATCCCCCCTTTTTTTATGAATAAAACCCTGTAACTCGGAAACGTATAATCTAAAATTTATAAAAATCGAAAAGGAGCTCATGTCAATAGATATAAACAATTCACCACAATTTCTTGCATGTTAGTGAAAGCATTCTTGACTTATTGTCTGAAAACTGGAAAATCCCCCTTTTTTTAATGAATAAAACCCCATAACTCGAAAAACGTGAAATCTAAATTTTATAAAAAACGAAAGGGAGCTCACGTCAATAGATATAAACAATTCATCAAAGTTTTATGCAAATTGGTGAAAGCATTTTTGAGTTAATGTCCGACATGTTGACGACAGACAGACGGACGGACAACGGTATACCATAATACGTCCCGTAAACGGGCGTATAAAAAGTGTGGAAAACTGATTTGCCGGACTGACAGAAGGACAGACAGACGGGAGACAAAAACACTATTTCAAAATATCAGGGAGAGGAATACTTGTACATGTATTGATTTCTACATATCTTCCTACAATTATAGACAGAAATTTATTTTATTAAAAATACAAACCATTATATCAATCCATGTATTATTTGTATCAGCTTCCTCCACACTAGCCTCTACTTGGTCGTTTATAGCAGCTCCTATACAACATGTTCCAAGATATGTCATTGCTTCACCTTTGAATCTTCTTTTTATATAAGACTTTGGATCTACTATTCCAAGTCTGATCAAGGAGTCATATTCTGAAAGAATAAATCATTTTATAATCTTAAAACCAAGCATGCCAGACTGAATGCAATCAAAAGGTTTTCAGTTTATTTTTCAATTAATAGAAAAAAAATGAAAATGGGGTATCCATCCATGACACAAAATCAATACATGACAGCATTAAACACACAAAAGGCTGTTCTTCATCTCAAAGTCACAAGTGAGGCTTTCAACATGGAGCAAAAAAAATCTCTCACCTCACAGCAAGTTTAAGAGCGGAATTCTTTGCAAAATAATTTGGGTAGACTTTTTAAGATGTTACACCACCAAATCGAACCCGGTCAAAAAGAACATACTGGAAAGAAGTGCATATTTTAAAACAAAATAGTTCCTACACATAGGCGTAAATATCAAACTATGTAGAATATATTCTGGTAATAGTTTATCTTAACAATGTCATCAAACAGAATGATTTTTTGCTAAAAGAGAAGGTATGATAAAGGGTATTCTTTGGTCCTTGAATTCAAAAGTTAAAAAGTTTCATAAAACTATCAAATTACATCCTCAGATATTCAATAACAAACATCAGCATTTAAGTATGGTTAAATTTGGCCCAGTAGTTTCAGAGGAGAACATTTTAGTAAAAGTTAACAGACTTTGATGACAACAATGACGGACAACAAAGACGGACGAAGATGACGGTCAATGGACGCCAAGTGATGAGAAAAGGGTAAAAATATTCATTTAATGGCATTTACTCACAAAAGGAATTTACTGACAATTTCATCTATGTTGACCTATTTGTAGAATTAGTATTGCTGATCATTTCAAAGTCATATGAAACAAGTTTCTTGTAGTTTTAATGTTTAGGACAGTTTTGAACCAATGCATGCAGGGAGGGTTGGCACCTTTAAATATGTTTAAACCCGCCACATTCTGTATGTGGCTGACCCATGCAAGTAAGGAGCGGAAATTTTTTCACACAATTTCGGTCATTTTGAGATGACTTAATAGTTTGTGACCTTTTTTTCAAATTGTCAAAATCACAATAGATTCATAGCAACAACAAACTTCTATTGACTGTTTCATCACATTTACTTCATGAATTTTCTAACCATTTTTCTAAAAACGCTCAAGAACAGTTTAGGGAAGGCAACAGTTTAAAATTGAAATGATTTTAATGACTCTAAATGGTAAATTTCTCTGACATCGCTAAGGTGGCAGGTACCAGTTTTGGTGTACCAGAACATGTGTCCCCCGCAGAAATTTTGTTATAGTTAAGCAATGAGTTATATAATTGCATCATGTGGACTGAAATTCTAGGCTATTATACTACATAAGTAGTTGCATACACAGGTTGGGGATTTCCTTCACATATGGGTCCAATCAGAAGTCAAAATCGTGTGCTCCTCACTTGACGGCATCCAATCAAAGTGGGGAAAAAATTCAGTTTTATGTAAACAAAAATATCTTGAGATTTAGATGGTAAGGATAGGTGCGGACAAGACTCTAATTCATTGAATATCATTTATCTCTTGAAATTTGCCTAAAATTCTTGTCTGCTACTAGCAGGATTCTGAAGGTGAGGATTAGATTTGTATCAGAGCATAACATTTTTTGCCTTATTTGCAATGCATTTATAAATTTTAAAATCTCCATGCTTGACAGACACCCAAATTTAAAGGTTTTCTATATATTCACATAAGTACAAAATTGACGATTGAAAAGTAATTAAATAATGAAGACAGTTGTCATCGAATATTAATTTCATTACCATAATAGTTCTGAGCTTGTGATCAATGTCAGGTGTGAATTAAGGGAGGTAATTCAAATAATGTATTTGAATTACCTCACTTACACTGCTTTAAATTGTGTTTTGTACTAAAGTATTTGTCTATTAACCAGGATACCCTTGTTTTTCCCCCTTTTTTTGCCCCTAATACCTAAACGGTTTGCGCCATAACCCCCCCCCCAAGCAAATCCTAACCATCCATTTGTGGTATGGAAACTTGTGGTATAATTTCAGAGAGATCCATACACCGGTCCACAAGTTATTGTCTGGAAACTAGAAAAAATGCTTATTTTTGGCCCCTTTTTGGCCCCTAATTCCCTAACTGTTGGTAGCATAACTCCCAAAATCAATCCCAACCTTCTTTTTGTGGTATTGAACCTTATGGTAAAATTCATAGAGATCCATTCACAGATTCCAGTTATTGTGCGAAAACCAATGTGTCTTCGGACGACAACGACGCCAACGTCATACCAATATACCACTCGTATAAAAATAATTGGCAAAAATGAAACTTAAAGGCTCTAAAGAACCTGTGTTGCTCACCTGCAAAATTGGCTAGTTTTTTCGGTAAAAATGAAAGAACCTTAGTGAGCGCGCTCACATACCCCACGTCCCCACATTGTCATTGGAGAAATAAAATAAGTGTAAGAAAAAAAAATTGTATCAGAAAAAAAAATTGAATCATAATTTCCTGTCAATATGCACATCTACATAGTATGTCCTTATTATCTACACAGTTTCATGAAATTCTGTTGTGTGGTTTGAGAGGAGTTGCGATGACAAAAGGTTGCAGTAGTATATTGGGCAAATAAGTTCAAAGGGGCTTAACTCCTGGAAAAAAAATTGAATCGTAATTTCCTGTCGATATGCACATCTACGTAGTATGTCCTTATTATCTGAAAAGGTTTCATGAAATTCTGTTGTGTGGTTTGAGAGGAGTTGGGATGACAAAAGGTTGCAGTAGTATATTAGGCAAATAAGTTCAAAGGGGCGTAACTCCTGGAGAAAAAAATTGAATCGTAATTTCCTGTCGATATGCACATCTACGTAGTATGTCCTTATTATCTGAAAAGGTTTCATGAAATTCTGTTGTGTAGTTTGAGAGGAGTTGCGATGACAAAAGGTTGCAGTAGTATATTGAGCAAATAAGTTCAAAGGGGAGTAACTCCTGGAAAAAAAATTGAATCGTAATTTCCTGTCGATATGCACATCTACGTAGTATGTCCTTATTATCTGAAAAGGTTTCATGAAATTCTGTTGTGTAGTTTGAGAGGAGTTGCGATGACAAAAGGTTGCAGTAGTATATTGAGCAAATAAGTTCAAAGGGGAGTAACTCCTGGAAAAAAAATTGAATCGTAATTTCCTGTCGATATGCACATCTACGTAGTATGTCCTTATTATCTGAAAAGGTTTCATGAAATTCTGTTGTGTGGTTTGAGAGGAGTTGCGATGACAAACTGTTGCAGTAGTACATTAAAGTAAATAAGTTCAAAGGGGCGTAACTCCTAGAAAAATAAAATGCTCCGCAGGGCGCAGCTTGATACGACCGCAGAGGTCGAACCCTGAACAGTTGGGGCAAGTATGGACACAACATTCAAGCTTGATACAGCTCTGAATTTGGATTGTGATTAAATATTTGACACAGCATAGGTTTCTGACACAGAATGAATGTGGTCTAAGAACTTAAAAATTTTAAATTGGACATTCACCTATTATGGTCCAATATCCAAAATCTAAATACATGGTTAGATTCAGCATATCAAAGAACCCCATATATTCAATTTTTGTTGAAATCAAACAAAGTTTAATTTTGGACCCCAATTTGGACCAACTTGAAAACTGGGCCCATAATCAAAAATCTAAACACATGTTTAGATTCAGCATATCAAAGAACCCTAAAAATTCAATTTTTGTTAAAATCAAACTAAGTTTAATTTTGGACCCTTTGGACCTTTATGTAGACCAATTTGAAAACGGAACCAAAAATTAAGAATCTAAATACACGGTTAGATTCGGCATATCAAAGAACCCCAATAATTCAATTTTTGATGAAATCAAACAAAGTTAAATTTTGGACCCTTTGGACCTCAATGTGGACCAATTTAAAAACGGGGCCCAAAATCCAAAAACTTAATACAGGGTTATATTCAGCATATGAAAGAACCCCATATATTCAATTTTTGTTGAAATCAAACAAAGTTAAATTTTGGACCCCGATTTGGACCAACTTGAAAACTGGGCCCATAATCAAAAATCTAAATACATGGTTAGATTCAGCATATCAAAGAACCCCATATATTCAATTTTTGTTGAAATCAAATAAAGTTTAATTTTGGACCCCGATTTGGACCAACTTGAAAACTGGGCCCATAATCAAAAATCTAAATACATGGTTAGATTCAGCATATCAAAGAACCCCATATATTCAATTTTTGTTGAAATCAAACTAAGTTTAATTTTGGACCCTTTGGACCTTTATGTAGACCAATTTGAAAACGGAACCAAAAATTAAGAATCTAAATACACGGTTAGATTTGGCATATCACAGAACCCCAATAATTCAATTTTTGATGAAATCAAACAAAGTTAAATTTTGGACCCTTTGGACCTCAATGTGGACCAATTTAAAAACAGGGCCCAAAATCCAAAAACTTAATACATGGTTAGATTCAGCAAATTAAAGAACCCCAAGAATTCAAGAATAAAACCCCATTGAAATTGATCAAGAAATAAGCAATTTATACAAAGTATATTCTTTTGCACAATAATGTGCAATTGAATATTTCTTGCTATTGCGCAATACTGTACAATTGACAATTTCTTGCTATTGCGCAATATTGTGCTATTGGATATTTCTTGCTATTGCGCAATACTGTGCAATTGAAGATTTCTTGCTATTGCGCAATACTGTGCAATTGAAGATTTCTTGCTATTGTGCAATACTGTGCAATTGAAAATTTATTGCTATTGCACAATACTTATTGTATAATAATTTACACATCCTGTTTGGTGTGTATTTCCTACCATATCATTATTATTTGCTTTTAAATATAAATCAGAAATAACCAACTTAAAATGAAAAATTTTAAGAGAAAAAAAAAAGGAAAAAAAGAAAAAAAAAGAAACCCCCCCCCCCCCAAATTTTTTGAACCCCCTTATGATTCATCACCCCCAAACTCAATCCCAGCCTTCCCTTTGTGGTATGGTATCTTGCAGTACAATTTCAGAGAGATCCATACAATTGAACACAAGTTATTGTCTGGAAACTAGAAAAATGCTTATTTTTGGCCCCTTTTTGGCCCCCAATTCCTAAACGTTTCGGGCAATTACCCCCAAACTCAATTCCAGCTTTCCCTTTGAGATATGGAACCTTGTAGTTCAATTTCAGAAAGATCCATACACTTACACACAAGTTATTATCATGAAACTTGAAAAATGCTTGTTTTTTGCCCCTTTTTTGGCCCCTAATTCCTAAAATTTTGAGGCAATTACCCCCAAAATCAATTACAGCCTTCCCTATGTGATATGGAACCTTGTGGTACAATGTCAGAGAGATCCATACACTTACACACAAGTTATTGTCTGGAAGTTCCAAAATGCTTATTTTTGGCCCCTTTTTGGCCCCTAATTCCTTAACTGTTGGTACCATAACCCCCAAAATCAATCCCAACCTTTCTTTCGTGGTATTGAACCTTATGGTAAAATTTCATGGAGATCCATTAACTTAAACTAAAGTTAGAGTGCGAAAACCAATGTGTCTTCGGACGACGCCAGACGACGACGACGACGACGACGACGACGACGACGACGACGACGACGCCAACGTCATACCAATATACGACCAAAAAATTTTTAATTTTTGCGGTCGTATAATAATTGAACCGTAATTTCCTGTCGATATGCACAACTACATAGTATGTCCTTATTATCTAAAAAGGTTTCGTGAAATTCTGTTGTGTGGTTTGAGAGGAGTTGCGATGACAAGAAACAGGACTGACAGACTGACGGACGGACAGACGGACGGACAGACAGACGGACGGACGGACAGACAGACGGACAGATGGACGGACGGACGGGTCAAAAACATTATACCCTCCGCAACTCGTTGCGTGGGGTATAATTATCATGAAAGAGCAATAACTATATAAAGGGTTAACTGACAATTTCAGTCATGTTGACTATTTGTAGAGCTTGCCCTGTTGATCATTTTTACTTTTTAAAGTTTCTATCTACATTTGTATCTACATTATTATACTTTTCAAGATAATAGGCAAACACTAAAACTAGAGGCTTGTGTCGCTCACCAAGGTCTATGTACATATTCAACAAAGGACACTCTCATTGTAGACGAGAATAGAATTCCTGACAAAAATCTCTTTAATGTTGATCTTGTATTGCTGACATTTTGTCTGTTTAGTTTCTCTCTATCTTCTTTAGTTTTTGCTCAAAACACAAGAAAGTGTTAAAAAAATCCTCATTTAAGGGCAATCACTTCAATAAAGAATGGCAGTTTGCTTTTTACCCCTATATTCTATTTTTAGCCATGTTGGCCATCTTGGTTTGCAGGTGGGATCATCAGGGTTATTTTTAAAACTATATACCCAAAATAAAGATTGTTGCCAAGTTTGGTTAAATTTGGTCAAGTAGTTTCAGAGGAGATTTTTGTAAGATATTAGGCAAAAATGCAAAAAATTGATAAAAATTCGTAAGGGTTCCACGGAACCCAGTGTCTCGCCTACTTTTGCTGTTAATCGCAGGCTCAACAAAAATGAGGAAAAAAATTAATAAAATATTCCTCTCTATACTATCTTTGGATTGTAAGTAGCTTCTGTCCAAGTTTGGTAAAAATCCATGATAGTTTATGAATCTAATAAATGTTTTAAAAACTTAAAACTGCAGTCTGTATGTAATGTTAACTGGAAGAAAAACTAAGTCCATTTATAAGTAAAATACGGAAAAAATGGAACAAAATTTTAACAAAATTTCCTTCTAGATACTAGCTTTTAATCATAAACAAGCTTCTGTCCAATTTTGGTACAAATCCAGGATAGTTTAAGAAAGTTGTTAAAATTTTAAAAACTTTAACCACAGAGTGAATGAATTGTTAACTGGCAGAAAAACTAAGTCCATTTATAAGTAAAATACGGAAAAAAAGATTTTTTTTTTTACAAAATTTACTTCTGGATACTATCTTATGATCATAAACAAGCTTCTTTCGAAGTTTGGTAGAAATCCAGGATAGTTTAAGAAAGTTATTAAAATTTCAAAAACTTTAACCACAGAGTGAATATTTGTGGACGCCGCGGCCGCCGCTGGAATGTAGGATTGCTATGTCTCGCTTTTTCGACAAAAGTCGAAGGCTCGACAAACATCATCATTAAAGGGCAAAAACTCTAATAAGAAGTCATATGACAATTTTTATTTTTTTTTTTATCTTTCTTGATTTCAAGATAATTGGCAAAAATGGTCAAATTTGTTATTTAAGGGCAATAATTCCTATAAAAGTCATCTGACAGTTTTGAGGTAAAAGAACAATATAGATCAACATTCTGAATCATTAAGTTCAATTTCTAGATAAGGCGGCCATGCTGGTTGTTCAACCTGGACGAAAATCACAAACTTTGTAGTTGATATCCTAGAACTTTGGTTTCAATCCAATAAGCAGTTTCAGAGGTTTTTTGAAATGAAAGTTTACGGACGATGGCCACAATGATGGAAAAGCTCACATTGCCCTTCAAGCAATTCAAAGGGATTCAAAGCTTGACATACCATGTTGATATTTCCTCATCCTTTGGGACTGTATGGTGACCTTTAAGTGTCTATTTTGGATATCTTGTGTGATTGGATTGCTATTTGATTATAATTTATCTCAAATCTTTTTTATTTCATATGAGGTAAAGTATACTATACTGAATTAATAACATGGTAGTTTATCTGTACTATAAAAATTCATGTTGATACTTACCTAAATATCCATTCTGTTTATAGAAAGAATCTACCCATTCATTTTGAGATTTAGAGTAGATATTTGGTATATACAAAGCTTTTTCTTGTCTCCCACCAGAGATAGATCCTGCAAGTCTACCTGTATTTACTAGATCTTCTAATAAGGCTATAAAAGATACATATCAAATTATGACCTAAATATGTTAAATGTACAATCTGAAAATTTTTCCACTCATTCTCTGTATTTATTAAAAAGAAAGGAATGGATCAAAGTAGGTGAGAAATGAAAGCTGACAAATCATTAATTCAGATGGACATGTATACCATACAATCATCTTTACACCAAATAAAGTTAACCTAAAGCTTATAGTATCTGAGATTCAGACCTAACTATAGGAACTCCAAAGGTCCCTCACCACATTGAGGCAATTAAAATGGTTTCTGTCAGTTGCAATCAAACACCATGTTAATATTAACACTCATACTTACAATAAAATAATCTTTCCTGAAAACTATGTCTTGACATTATACTTTGTATGACTGTTGGTCTAAAAGTAAAACAATCTATTTGTTAATAAGCACTGTGTCCTCACCAGCAGTGATATTATATAGTGAATATCACATGGCTTTTCCAATATCTTACTCAAGACATCAATATAATCTCAAGAGCTCTCCTCGAGTGGTTATATTGGTTGAGGGTTGATACCATGTTTGACATTGAAAAAGTCATATCATATAGACTTTATCATATACCTCAAGTAGTTTTTTTTACGTGACATGAGGCAATACAGATTAAGGGTTTGATAAAGCATTTTTACATTGCGATTACCTTGAGGTCATTCCGATGTATTGCTATCGCCTAGATTTACATTATGTAAATTAGTTTTGGGTTTGTAACCGATCTATAAACATGATAAATATGCGCACATAAACGAGTGCAAAATAACATTCCTTATCGTTTGATATAAATTAACATCTCTTCAATGAATGCTGATAAAAATATTTTTGTTTACAACATAAATAAATAATATGATAATGTTTTGTAGTTAGATATATATATACAAGTAAAAAATCATTGATAATATCAATGCACAAGTACCGAAAAATTGTGTTAAAGCATGCGGAAGAATATCTCAAAGAACGTTTTGCGACAATACCGGCAAGGACCGGTAACTCTGTAATTGTTTTTGCGGGAAAATATAAATGCCTACTCGTATCAAATCTTAGAAAAATCACTACAATATAATAGTTATTACGGTGAAGTTGAATTTCCTGTCATTTATTCATCATCCACGCACGAACTTGTCTCAGAAAAAAATATATTTCTGTACATTAACCTCAGTTTCAGGTAAAGATATATGTTGTTTTTTTCTGAGACAAGTGCTTTTGACCATCCTCAAGAACTTGTGGTCATCCGATGTTCAGTACTTCAGTACTTTGATTAACAGTTGAGGTGACTGATATCAATTACATGACCTCAGTCAGATAAGGGGTTTGATGAAACCTTTATAACCATCATTGATATCCATATCATCACGGATAACTGATACAGCACTATTGCCATTAATTGTATTACACATACAATCTTCTTGTATTTACTAAGTATATAAATAATTGGTAAAGGGTTCCATGGAACCCTGTTTCTCACCTGCAATTGCTGCTGTTAGTGTAAAAGTGTAATATGAACTGTAAAAAGTGCGTCCATTTTTCAGTAAAATTATGAATATAAAAAAAATCAAACTTTTTCTTTAAATGCTTTTTCTCGATCTTGAAGATTAGCTTCTGTCCTAGTTTCATAACAATCCATGAAGGTTTACAAACTTATCATGTCAAAAAAATTAATCCCAGACTGACTGTAAATGTTAACTGCAAAAAGATCAGTCCTTCTATCAGTATATAAATTACTGAAAATGAAAAAAAAAAATATTTTCTACTTTTTGCTTCATACATCATACTCATAAAAAAGCTTCTGCCAAAGTTTTATAAAATTCTATGAAAGTTTGACGAAGTAATGGATGTGTAACAAACTTTAACTCCAGACTGTATTTACTTGTTTACTACAAAAAACTGAGTCCTTTTATCAGTAAAATACAGTTTAATGAGAAAAAAAATATTTTTATCATTTTGCTCTGGATACCCACTTTTGGTCATAATAAACTGTTGACACAGAGCTGTCTCACCTGTCAGCAGAAAATAGAGAAAAAGACAATCTGATGGACAGAAAGTTGCTGGATCATGACTTAGGGGACAGGGCCTAGAAATGGTTGACAAACTAAGATGTTCTGATAGTAATGAAACTTTATAGAAAATATCATTGTCTATCATGAGAAATTCCTATTAAACTAACTTAAGAAGAAAACTAAGGTTGAAAATTGGTAATTAATTGAAAGTCACTGGACCATAACTACTGGGTCAGGGCCTCGAAATAGTTGTCAAACTGATATGTACCTATAGTAATGCAACATTATAGAGAATATCATTGATTTATCGCAAGTAGTTCTGATCAAACTAACTTAAGCAGATAACTTAACATTCAAAATTGCTTGTTAATTGAAAGTCGCTGAGCTAATAGGCATGGCCTAAAAAATAGTCGTCAAACTGATATGTACTGATAGTAATGCAACTTTATAGAAAATATCATTGATCTACCACAAGTAGTTCCTATCCAACTGACTTAAGTAGAAAACTTAAGAATTGTTGACATCTACTAAGTAGTAGCTATAAAAGCAACACCTATGTCTCAAATTTGTTGCAGATGAGACAAAAAAGGTTATGTCCAAATTAAGTAAAAATGCTTAGAGGTCTGACGAAGATATTATTAAAAACTTTAACCTTTGACAGAATCTGAATATTACCTGTAAAAAAACTTAATCTAAATGTTAATCAGTAAAATATGGAAATATGAAAATAATATTTTCAAATTTTGATCTGGATTCTGTCTTTTGATTATAAAAAAATCTTCTCTCCAAATTTCATTAAATTCAATAAAGTTTTCACAAAGTTATTAATGTCTAAAAAAAACTTTAACCACAGAATGAATGTAAATGTTGCAGCCGCCACCAACAGAATCTAGGAACGCTATGTTTCGCTTTCTTGACATAAATGTCCCAGGCTTGACAATAATATACAGTTATTTAATAGTATTGAGGGATATAGCCATTTTTATTTTTCATGAGGAGACTTTATCCAGATGCACAGCAGAGGGAAATAGCTTGTGTCAGGGAAAAATAAAATAGCTACATCCTGAAATAACTGTTTTATTATACCAAACTATCTAAGAAAAAACTAAATCCTATTCAAAAAATACAAAACTATGGCATCTGATTTGTAAATCTTTGATATCAGAGTAGCTGAACTTCAAAACTAGGAACACCTAAAGAGGTAAAAAGAAAAGTTTTGGAAAATGTTTGCTTCCAGCTCTGGGTGAACTATTGTCCCTAGGAAAAAAAGTCATTGAAGCTATTTCACTAAAGAAAATAATAGTCATTTTATCCATATTGATTTTATATAGAAAACACACATTGGACTTGGATGGATACTTATCTCATTGGCAAAATTTCCTTATTTTCTTATTCTAATATGTTTGTAGCATTATATATATTGAAACCAGACCAACTTGTGAAGATCCAAATTTAAATACTAGGCATAGTTGCTTCAGATAAAGTGTTTAAAAATTCATATATAAAAATAAGGAGATGTGGTATGCTTGCCAATGAGAGAACTATTCACCAAAGACCAAAAAGATAAGGATATCAACAACAGCAGTTCAATGTATTGCTTTCAAGATTGAGCAAAACCTATACCTATAGTCAGCTATAAAGTGACCTGAGAAAACATTTGATGCAACAATTCAAAAGAGAAAACAAACAAGTTGATTGACACTAAAACAATAAACAATTTTTTTTTATGACAAATAGCATCTAAAGACAACCACTGTATTGCAGGTTCCAGGCTTGGGAAAGGAACATAGAGAATGTGGAGGGTTTAAACATGTTTGTTAGCTATCAACCCTCTTCTTATTTTAGACAGTAATGAAATAACACCACATAAAATAAATTGCTTCGCCGAGCGCAGCTGGATACAGGTCAATTGACAATTTTGGTCATATAAAACTTATTTGTAGATCTTACTTTGCTGAACATTTTTGCTGTTTACAGTTTATCTTTATCTATAATAATATTCAAGATAATAACCAATAAAATGCTTCGCTGAGCGCAGCTGGATACGACTGCAGAGGTCCAACCCTGAACAGATGGGGCAAAAATGGACACAATATTCGTGCTTGATACAGGTCTGAATTTGGATTGTAATTCAATAGTTGACACATTAAAGGTTTCTGACACAGAATAACTGTAGTCAAAGAACTTAGAATTGGTTATATGATTTGAAATTATATTCAATTTTTTGCTTTTGTGCAATACACTATGCTGTTGCCAATTGACCTGCTCCCCACCCCCCACCCCCTTTTTCAAAAACAAAAAATAAAAAAATAAATGTGGATAGTGTCCACATGTGGACACAGATGATGCCCCCGCTTGCATATCATATAGTTATAAAGGGACATAACTGAAGAATGGTAAAGTGAGGCTACCCAAATTTGAACTTGATTTGAGTTTTGTGGTAATAAGCATTGTGTGTAAGTCTCATAACATTTGGTTGAGGCTAACTTAAGTAGAGAACAGAAACTAAAAATTCAGCAATTTTTCCATTTGTAAACACGCATAACTCTAGAATGGACTTGTGTATAAGTTTTATAACATTTGATAGAGACAAACTAAAGTTAGAGAAGGGAAACGAAACATTCAGCAATTTTTATGTATATAAATGGACATAACTCAAGAATGGTAAAAGTGTCACCTCTAAATTTCGTACTTAATCTGTATTATGTAGTAATAAGCATTGTGTGTAAGTTTCATAACATTTGGTTGAGGCAAACTAAAGTTAGAAAACGGAGACAAAAAATTTGTACTTGATCTTAGTTTTGTTGGAATGAATATTGTGTATAGGTTTCATAATGTTTGGTTGGGGCAAACTTAAGTTACAGAATGGAAACTAAAAATTTTGCAATCTTTCAATTTATAAAGGGGCATAACTCAATAATGGTTAAAGTGACACTACCCAAATTCAACTTGATCTGTGTTTTATCAGTGGAAGTCAAAATTAAACATTGCATTGTATAAAGCATTGATTGTAGTTGATTCAACTATAATCATGGACAAAGGAAGATAACTCCAATTTTAAAAATAACTTGATATTTTGAAGAAAATAAATATTTTGCAGTTTTTCCATTTATAAAGGGGCATAACTCTAGAACGGTTAAAGTGACGCCACCAAAATTCAAACTTGATCTGTGTTTTGTGGTAATAAGCATTGTGTATAAGTTTCACAACATTTGGTTGAGGCAAACTTAAGTTAGAGAACGGAAACTAATAAGCATTATGTATAAGTTTCATAACATTTGGTTGTGGCAAACTCAAGTTAGAGAAAGGAAACCAATTTCGGAACGTACATAAGTACGTACATACATACAGACAGACAAGGGTAAAAC